CTGTCCTTCAAACTTCAGCTCAAAAAAAGCTGAAAAAGCAGAGCTTTTTAAATACCAAATCTAACATGCTTCCTTATTACCATTTCCACCCGATGACAGAACCACTTTCAAATTCATGAATGAGTCATGAGGCTGCAGATCTTTTGGTCACTGTCATTGTATTCAATATATGCGTGTTATGGTGGAAACCACAAGGTAACCCGTGTATGAAGTCCTCAGGGTGCTACGACAGATGAAGAACTCATCATGTTCAGATAGCTCCATGTGCACTGAGGATGTGCATTTGGTCGGTTTGGCCTCATTACAGTTTCAAGGAACTTTATCAGTGTTAGTCATGAAAGTTTAAATGAGTGGTTCAAGACAACTACTGGGACTCTCATGGCATTGTAAGTGTTTTAATAATTTTTCTTCATACATACAGTGGCTTCAGAACGTGAAAATGTATAACTCCAAAAAATAATAAATCATGATAATGTAATAATGGCAGTTTGGTGGTCATCAATAGGTGAATGACCAGTTTGCCATAGAGCCCATTAGGCCTTTTCCTCTGTGGTAACTAAGCAACCCCTAAGCCATTGTCACAGGTTCCGCTTTTGTTTCCATTGCACTCTGCCCACATTGTGGATGAGTTCCTGTAAGTCTAGTTTGGCATTGCATAGCAGGTGGTACTAAATCCACATTCCAGATAATCACAGGGCATAGAAACGGCTTGCTTGCAGAAGCAACATGGCATTAATAACACAGGACGTTTAGATTAGCACTGTAAGGAAGCATTTTTCAATATGTTACATTTTTGTTATTCATTTGTCTGTGTAAACTGCAAACTGATTGTTTACACAGTGTTGTGGAGTATGCTACAAATATAATATTTCCACTAACATTCAAGTGATGTTGGTATTTCCAATTCATATAACATTTTCAAAAGTGAGGTTTTTTTCCCCAACTATATAACAGGACAGTGTGACCAAACATACACTACACAAAAAGCGCTCAGAACTGAGAACGGATTGCACTGCATCCCTTAATCCGTTCCCCAGCAGCTTCTTCAGCTGCACTTCCCCAGTTTGTGATTGAGAGAATCGAGCAGTGGGTTGATTTAATGGTATAGAGCTGACAGAGAGCTATACATTCATGACAATAAAGCTAATTTGAATTTGAGAAAGAGAGAATGGAAGGGTTGCTTCAGGACAGTGTGTCATGAAGCAACCCACCCTAGAGAGATAGTCAGTGGTGGTGCTGGTCTTATTCATTCTCTGCTTCATTCTATTGACCTACTGCTGCAGATGGGGCCTTTACATTAAGGGCATTCCAGTTTTGCATTGTTGTTTGTTGACAAGTACACTCGCCTTTCAAAAAGTGCATAAAAAAGACAAGATTTGTCCTGGTCTGGTCTTGGTTTAGTGATGTATTTTACAATGCAGAATGTTTGAATATACAAGGTAGAACCTAGAACCAAAGACTTACAGGTTATTCAAAATTAAGGTTATGGAAAAAATTTTGGATGGTTAGGTTCCCATAGTGAATAAGGCCCTACTTGCATACAAGATGATATCGTCAGCAACAGTGTAAGTGGTCAACAGTAGAACTAGATTTCTAATTAGGGTCCATGTTGTATTAAACTGCAAATAACTAGTGCTACAAGACTGACTACAAACACACTTATACATAGATACAGCATCCATTTTCTTTGATAATCCGTGACAGTATGGTCTCTAAGGTTGGTTAGGGAAGGACTTGATGTTGATCCCTTGTTGTTTCAACTGCACTTGATCTGATCCTTACATCTGATCCTAACATCTATCTGCAGGCGAAGCCCAGCAGGCTCCACTGCTCCCACTGTGACGAGACGTACAGTCTTCCCCAGAATGGAGCCATCAAGCTGTATAAAGAGCTCCGCTGTCCACTGGATGACTTTGAGCTTGTGCTGTGGACCTCTGGGTCCCGGGGCAAGAGCTACCCCCTATGCCCATACTGCTTCAGCAACCCGCCTTTCAGGGATATGAAGAAAGGTAGGACACAACCTGGGTGTTATCTTGTGGTAATTCTTGTGGTTGTTAGATAGTGGCTAATCAGCTGGAGCCTTGTAACCCCTGACAACAAACATGAAACCAACCATAAAACTAGTCATTATTGCTTTGTAAAGTTTTGTTAGATGATGATGAATTATCATGAAAAATTATGACCTTTTTTCAAAAAAAAAAATGTAGGCGCCTATGAAAAACAATCTCAGTACTGTTTCAGGTAGGGAAACAAAACATCAACCACAAAGTGATCTGTATGTTCAGTATAGAGATGATTTTCCTTTTATATTTTCTGCACACTTACAGCCAGTTTGGAGAGCCCCAGTATGTGCGCTATGTTTGGGAATCCTGTGGATCAAGGGATTGGAGTTAATTTCACTATTCATGACAGGACAGGAAAAAAGTAAACGGTAGCTGGCGTAACGGGAATCTATGAAACACTATTTTTGAAGGAACTGTAAAAACTCTACAGGCTGGAATTAAACTTTTCTTTCCTTTTGTTAAGATATTTTTGTGTGTTGGGCTGCATTTACCTCAGTATTAACATCCATATCAAAAGCATCTCCACGTCCTCCACTCTGAGCTGCTGCTGGACCTGCTGCTCCTTCCTTTCTCTCTCTTGCTGCCTCCCTCTCTCTCTTTGGTTTGCTTTAATTATATCACTTCATCTCCTTTTCAATTCCAATGAGTGTGTTTAGTGTTTTCTAATGCATTAAGAATTATATATGCTAAGGATTCAAATATAATTTAGGAGTAATATTATTACTAATATTAACTGTTCAGGTGGAGTTAAATCGCAGCCAAATTTTGTATTCAAGATCAGAGCTCTCCTTCATTTGCAGTATGTGTCTAGTATGTGTCAGTACCGGGTTCAGTCCAGAAGCTGACTGCATAATGAGCTTCTGTCTTACTGAATCAGGTGCTGAATACACGCTTAATGTGGCCTCCTTCTTAATAATAATAAGAAGTAAATCTGGCCCTTATCGTAGTCTTGGTCTTATACCTTGTCAGGTGCTGATGCGTCTCTAGCAAGTGAGTTAAACAATTTAAACCCAGGAAGCAGCAGGACCAGACAGTGTCAGTGGCTGGGTCCTCAAATTATGCACACCCAGCACACTGGACCAACTACAGTTTGCCTACTGTCCCAACCGATCAACAGAAGACGCCATAGCACACGTCCTCCACACAACCCTATCTCACCTGGACAAGAAATGTAGCTCTGTGAGGTAGCTGTTCATTGACTACCGTTCAGTGTTTAACACAATAATTCCCTACTAGGCTTGTCACAAAGCTCAAGGACCTGGAGTTAAACACCTCACTTGGATCCTTGACATGCTGATGGGCAGACTCCAAGTGGCGAGGATGGGTGGACACACCTCTTCCACTAACACTGAAGCACCCCAGGACTTCAGACTCTTAACACCATTATCAGTTTTGCTGATGACACAGCTGTGGCCTAATCAAAGATAAGAACAATGAAAAGGTCTACCTGAAGGAAGTAGAGGCCCTGAATTATCACTGTTATCAGAATTATCACGGTATTGTTAAAATGTGCTGAAAATGCTTGTAATACTACTCATAGACACATTGAAACCATTTCACCAAGTTTCATATTGAAAACCAAAAAATAGATTTAGCAGCACTGTGCACATATTCTGCGAATAAACATACTAATACCTACAGTGGTAGGGGACCATGTACAAGGCTGAGTCCGCAGCGGCCCGGGTTCGAAAGCATCCTGTGGACCTTTGCTGCTTGTCTTCCCCTCTCGCTCCTTCGTTGCCTCTCTATCCTATCCACAATAAAGGCAAAAATATCTTTAAATAATACCTGCCAATACCTTATGTAAACACCATCATGAAAGTGTGTGCATTACATTACATTAAAAGGTGTTAGTTATGAAGTATGACCCTATGAACAATTTACATAAATACAGATGATTCTTAAGAAGACAGTGACAGTAATTGCAATGAGCCCAGCAAGTGAACTGTGCATAGAAATCCATAGAGTTTCTCCTGTTGGAACATTTTAACAATGATGGCTGGGTTTTAAATCAACATTGGTTGGGAGATTAAACTATGTAACATGTTATCATGAGTAATGGGTGAATTGTCAGGCTTGTCACCAGTACTCAAATGTAGACTGGAGTTAGCCAATTTTGGAATTATTGGTCATTTTTGGCGATTTACACACTTTGTACTTTAACAAACTCCTCCTAGGGAATTAGTCCGATCATCTTCAAATTTTCACTGGGTCTAAACCCATTGACGATTAAAAGTTGTAACGGATATTACCACTTTGCCCGTGGCGTGCTGTCAAAAATTGTTGATTCACCATGAAACAGGAAGTTGTTGTAACTTCAGTGTGCATGCTCACATCTGCACTAAATTTGATATGTATAATAAGAGTCCCGCCCTGAACACATCCACATGCCAACATTCACTCAAAGCCAAAGCGCCACCAACAGGAAATGACACGTTTTATGTTGTAATGTACTACTGCTAGCAGGTTGAACATATCAACTTTAGAACTGTCCCAGAAAACCCTTAACACATTGATGAAGCTATGTTGTAAAAGTTGTGAGTTAATGGCGCGGGGGTGGCATGGCTGCAAAGTTCCACCATGACACAGGACGTTGTTGTAACTCGACTGTACATGCTCAGATCAGAACAAAATTTTACACTTTTAAAGAGTCCCGCCCTGAACACATGTAAATGCCGACAGTCACCCACAGTCATAGCACCACCTGCTGGCAACATGACGTGATTTTCAACGAAGCAGCCCCCGCGGCACATTTTACCTACATGTACGAAATTTCTGTGGCACATGTATCATGTCCAGATGTCCAAAAAAAACCTCATGGAGCGATGCCCTGAACACAACAGGAAGTCGGCCATTTTGAATTTTATGGATTTTTTGGGATTTTTTACACACTCCATAATTTAATGAAGTCCTCCTAGAGAATTAGTCCGACCGACTTCAGATTTGTGCTGTGCAGTCTAAAGCCATTGACGATTAAAAGTTGTAAGAACGGAGAGTTTTCGTGAAACAGCATGCCCGTGGCATCCAAAATGGCGATGATTCGCCATGAAAGAGGAAGTTGTTTTAACTTCAGTGTACATGCTCACATCGGCACCAAACTTCTGAACAAAATTTTAGACGCTTAATAAGAGTCCTGCCCCCAACACATATACATGTTCAGTTATAGTCGTAGTGCGACAAAGCGCCACAAAGCGGGGACACAGGAAGTGATGATTAACAGGTTTGTGCAGTGTTCGAAGCCCGTGGCAAATTCACAGCCACACTGTCAGAGCTCCAGAATCTGCAACGCGGCCGCCTCACACCTCAATGCGCAACACATGCAAGGGCCCGCCCAACGCTGCTTGCAGCTTTTATTGCTATATATGTCTTATCCATTATCACCCCATATTAATGGGTCCTCTGTGGAGAGGGTGGACAGCTTCAAGTACCTTGGTGTCCTGCAAAGAGTATTTCTTTCGACTGAACATACAATAGCTTGTGCTCTGCCCTGGATTAAGGCTAGGAAAATCTTTAAGATCCTAAACACCCAGGATCACTGCCTTTTTCTCCCTGCTGCGGTCGGGAAGAAGACACCAGATACACCAGGCCAGAAGAGAGGCTCAGGAAAAGCTTCTATCTTCAGGCCAATAAGATCCTAAATGAGGACACTGCCTAAGACTGCCCCCCCCAATCATCCACATATATTTATTAATATTCCTTTAACTCTTTTTAATGCATACATTGGGAACTGGCAGGATTACATGTAACAAATGAATGTGATTGATAAATGCCTTCTGACCTCTGACATTCTGACCCCTTTTCCCAGGTATGGGATGCAATGAATGTACCCATCCGTCTTGTCAGCACTCTCTCAACTCTTTGGGCATCGGACAGTGTGTGGAGTGTGATACTGGGGTTTTGGTGCTGGATCCAACATCTGGACCCAAATGGAGGATGGCTTGTAATAAATGCAACGTGGTGGTGCAGTTCTTTGAACATGCACACAGAGTGCAGGTAAGAAAACGGTCGTACATCTTGTCCTATGTCAAGATAATCCTACATATAAAACCCAGTGTCACATAGAAATTACTTTACAGGCCCATAACAGCAATCACACGTAGTGCTCTGAGTATCCAGCCTGTTGGCTTTCATTCCACCCAAACATATGAGCAGCTTCTGGCTGATTTCTCTCGAGTGCAACAACACAAGACACAGCAAGCCAGCTAATACGTTTTTAGTGACTCGTCCAACAGTAAGCAGACCAGCCCGGCATCTGTCCTGCATCCTTTTTGAGCTGTTTTAACTCATGCCAACGAGTAAAAGCCAGTCTGATTGTCTGGTATTGAAACTGCTCTACGGCTGACAGGAAGGCTCTGCAACAAGTAGTTAAATCTACTAAGAAAATAACAACAAACAACTGCCTCCCTTCCCTAGATGACATCTATGTCAGCAGGTGCAGAAGCAGGGCATCAGGTATCATGAAGGACTCCACTCATCTGGCGCATAAACTGTTTGCCACTCTCCCCTCTGGCAGAAGGTTGCGCAGCCTTAAAGCAAGAACAACAAGGCTAACGTGCAGCTTATTTACAGAGGCTGTGAGACTCCTCGGCTTAGAGCTCCTCTTGCCCTTGCACGATTATTGCTGCTACTGCACAAGGCACTTTAATGATGTCATATGGTCTTAACTTTGGTTCAACCATGGTTTTAATATTGTTTTTATTATGGTTAAGATTACTTAATGTTTTATATAGGGTCTATCTTAAAATTGTTATTTATTCTGTACACTGCTGGACCTGGGAAAAGAATTTCGTTCCTTTATGTTTTACATGTTTGAATGACAATAAAGAACTGAACTGATATTTACTCCTGTTCAGTCTCTTGCTCGGTCACACTCTCTTTTTCTCTTCCTTGCTTCCTCCGATGTCTTTCTTTGGTCTCTTTGTAGTCTCTGCCATCATATCCATACTGAGAATACGGAGCTAGCGTCTTCCAAAGAACTCACATTGTACATTCTATACTTTTGGCTTCTTCTTATATCTCGCTTGCTGAAGAGTTTTATTGAAGTGTTGTGTATTCAAAGTTTTATCATTTCAGTTCTTACAATTTCTGCGGTTTTCTCTCTTCCCATAGGTTGTTCAAGAGAGCTGCGATGTCTGTGACGCCTCTCTGGTCGCGGTGGACTTCAACAAGACTCGCACTCCACTTCCTGCAGGCGAGACCCAACATACCGGCTGTGTTTTCTGTGATCCGGTTTTCCAGGATCTGGTGGAGCTCAAACATGCCACCATGAGGCATCGGGGAGGGGGTGCAAGACGAGGAGGACGGGGACGGGGCAGGGGACGCCGTAACAATCCTAAAAAACCTAAAGACAAAATGGCTGCCTTGGCAGCTTACTTTGTATAGTGTCTGTGTATAGTGCATCTTGTTATTTGCTAGACACCTAATAGGTGTAAATGGACTTCTGTTGTTTAATTTTGTTACATACAATACATATTAGCATAATTTTTCACCATCATAAAAATTCATAAAAGTTCATATACACTGTACAGTATGTTGTCAACTTGAAAATACTGTTTTCAAGGATCAACATTATAGAAAATGTCCAAATTTTTGAGTGCTACATTTTTGAAATTTCAACAGATTGAGCTTTGAGATTAATTTAACAGGCATGCCAGTAACATGCTAAGACATACAGTTGATATGTAAACATGGGCTTGTATCATGCTATAACATGACACAATTATTCCATTTGCACAAAGACATGTTCCATGTCATGCAAATGTTTAGTAACTTTTAACATGTTGACAATAAGTTTCATTAAGTAATAATAATAATTAAACTGATTATTTCCACTAATGCTCTTTGTCAAAAGTAGAAGTGTAACAATACAATTACTCAACTTGTCGATCAATAAAAAAGTATTTGACAACTATTTTGATCATTGATTCATTGCTTTAGTCATTTGTTAACCAAATGCCACACATTCACTGGTTCCAGGTTCTGAAATTTGAGTATTTAATGCTTTTCTTTAAACTGAATATTTTGGGGTTTTGGATAGATTCGGGAAATAGTTTTAGATTTTAGATTTATTCACAGCATTTTCTGACATTTCACAGACAAATTGATTAGTCAAGAAAATCTGCAGATTGATTAATTAAAATGAATTTCCCTTTTTCTTGTAACATTTATGTATGGCGTGATAGTTATTTGTGGCATAATAAAATAATACTTTATTTACCATTTTCTGTCTTAATTACCTATTTCTTTTTTATGTGGAATTCATCGTATAAATGTCATCGTATAATATGGGTATGTTCCTTTAAATTTACCGGGGGTGACGTACAGGAAGATGGTCCAATAGGGTGTTTTCTCAACAGAGATTTCTCAACAGTATCTGTAGTACGTTGTGATTGTATTACTACCATCAGGTCTACCAACGCAGGTTTGTGTGTGTTTATCAATGAATGTCTGTTGCTCTTTGTGTTCGTTTCCTTTAGCTGTCCGTCTGTAATTTGTCTACGCGAAACACCAACGTTATGCTAAAGGGCTGTTCCAGTTTATTTAGCCTCAGGTAAAATGAAGAAACTAACGTCTGCTAGTCTGGGAAATGATAAATTAACTTAAAAAGTAGCGTTGATCCATCCCTTAATGACCAACGTCAATTGTTTGTTGCTGACTGCTTGCATCACAGTGCAACATTAATGTTTCACAAATGAAGATAGCTTACACACGTTTGTGCATGTACATAACGTTACATGCCAGGACACGTAAAATCACACCGTGTTTAACGCTACATTTTGGGAACACAAAATAAGTTTACGCAGAACTGTAAAGTTGCTTAACGTTAGGTTGTATGCGTGTGGTAGCTAACGGATATGTGTCGACAGCTTGGACACATGCCCCTCTCATTGGTGTGGAAATAATACAGTACAATTAACGTTACTGTGCTAACGTTAATCTCTAACGTTAGCCAACCGTTAACTTCGTTTCAGCAGGAACGTTATTAACGCTAAAGACGCAAACCTGCCGCCCAACATAGTAAAAGTTCTCCATTCTGTTAGCTGTAAGTTAGCTTCCGGTTCGGCAATATAGGGGAAAGTTTAGAGAAACCTCAAGTTGCAATACTGAGCGACCGAGCATACCTTTTTCGCACCTCTCAGCTGTTATACGTTTTCGGTAACGATAAATCCCTACCGCTGTCACAACGTCACATTCCAAGGAAAACGCGCCCATGAGGGCAAAAAATACGTTATTTTCCGCTGTCTGCCAAGCAATAAGCAAAAATAAACTGTTACTTTGAATTGCTGGAAATACTGCAGGTTGTTGTGCTTTCGGATGCACTAATCGAGGAGAAGATAAGCCTGAACTGTGTTAGGTGAGGGATTCCCCATAAGGTAAACGTAACATTATTACCGCAGTCGAGCAGAGGCAGGGACCTGGGGGTTTTTAACGTCAGAATTGCGGCAGCGGATGTTATATGGATCGGAAATCCCCAACACTTGCAGTTTGTGTTCATATCTTTATTTTTGTTAAGTTGAAAGGTGATCCAAATACAATTTGACTGCTCTTGCGGATGTGGTCACACCCGGGTTACCCGCTATGTTGGTCTGTTGTTTTGGTCATCGCGCATGTCATGTGAATGAAAACTATTCTATTCAAGCAACGGCTTCTGGCTTCTAGTTTAAAAACAGAAGGCTCCTAGTTGGCTCACTGCAGTCAAGCCAGCCCTCATGCTGTTCTACGATGCGTGTTTTTTGTAGGCATTACGGTAACATCGTGTCGCAGCCCTTTTTATATACAGTCTATTGTCGCAGCACATTTCAAAATAAAAGTGAGCTTCTGCTGAACATAGTACAATTGGTGTGGCAGAAACGATTAAATAAATAAATGCTAAATCTAAAGAAAGTATTACATTTTCATAGAAAGATTACTAAATTCAGCCAAGATTCAAACTGATTTAAAAAGCATAACATACCACCTCAGGGTGTCCCTCTGTCAATATCAGAGCGATCTGATGTATATTTTAAAAGATAAAGCCCTTAAAAATGTCTAATATCTTCACTGAATTTACTGATTTTAGAGTGGTGTAAAAAGAAAACCTCCTGTTGCCACTAACTCATTTCACTTTGAAATTAAAGCCCTATAAAATGTCTTATATTTTCACTGAATGCCCCCTGAATTCAGTTTGATGGTAAAAACCCCCCACAAAGGTTACGATATGGTAACCCTAGTTCTAAAAACACAGTCGGATTCTTCGACTGGACTTTATGGGTATTACCACCTCCAATCACACCCACACATCTCCCACTGAAATTTGAATTGCGCACGTAGATGACCATTAGAGCATCACTACAGATACCTGAGTACTGTATTATAGCAGTGTCCCTACTGCAGACTAACCCTTCAGCAGACGATGGAGTGGCAGGGCCCATCAGTAGAGGGCTCTGCCTGTGCTTATAGAACTAGTTACCACATCGTGACCTTCATGCTTTCTCACACAGGCTTCACCCCCGACTTGTCTCTATAGGTACAGTGGGTGGAGCCCCATGACTGATCAGTGCGTCCGATGGGGGCTGCGCGAGTTAAATGACCAGTTTGAATCTTGGGGAATTCAGTAAAAATATTAAACCTTTTCAAGGGCTCTATCTTTTAAAACCTACATCAGATCGCTCTAATACTGACAGAGGGTCTCCCTGAGGTGGTCTGTTCTCACAGTGAAGTGAAATGAGCCAGTGGAAACAGAAGTTTTTTTTTTACATCAGTTTGAATCTTGGCTGAATTTAGTAAGCTTTCTGTGAAAATATAATACTTTCTTTAGATACTTGTACTACGCATCGCAAAATAGCGCGAGGGCTGGTTTGACTGTCGTTTTCGAAGTGGAGGCTGGCTTGACTGCAGTGTTGTCTCGTGCTATTTAAGGGAGACAGTTTACGCTAAGATGATAAAATAAAACGTGTGGTAAAAATGAGAATACTCAATATGTATTTACTATCATAAATGTGAAATAAAAATAACATTTTTGACTTATGAGGCACGTTAATAAGTCAAAGTCACTACATCAGTAGAGGTAACATTAGCTTTTCAGTTGTATTTCCTGGTGTGCTGTTACAATATTATAATAATGATTTGACAACATTATTATAATGTCACTTTCTCACAATAGTGTTACCAGATGTGGGAATTTAAATGTCTGTCATGTGGATACTGCATTAATTCCCCATCAGAGTCAAATTTTCTCTATACTTTCTCTGCCCGTAAAATCTCCACTAGTGCCCTGTGAGCCCTGACCTCCTTTTTTTTTACCTGAGATCTTACTGCAGCCAGAGTCTGTGGGATGGAAGAGGAAGCTAGATGCTTCCTGAGGAGTTTTGTGGAGGAGTTTCCAGCTGCTCTGGAGGAAGACAGTCCGCTGCCTGGCAGCCCTCTGAGCCGCAAAGTCTGCTTGGAGGAGCTGCATGGAGAGAGCCTGGAACTAGGCCTGAGGCTGCTGGCTGCCAGGTACGACAAAGAAGGACAAGTACACAAAAAGCATTTTACATAATGTTGTATGTCTGAAGGATACTGCAGCACAAGACCAAATAGACACAGAGTGAGAGAATGAATGCCACTTGCTCGAAGTGCTCTTGTTCGACCTGATTAAAGTCACTGTAATACATATGTAATACAACTTGTGTTAATTTCACTTAATTGTAAATAATTTCATTTCATTTTTCAACAGGATTTTACAACAGGGTTGTAAAATGAGATGAAGTTTACACTTCGCACAAGAAAACATTATATACAAAAAACTATATAAAATGATATACTGTTTTACATGGTGCAGTGCTGAGAATGACTGCTCTGCAGTCTGATGATGTGACAGCAGATACTTCTGTATCTTTTTCCAGAACGCAGCAGGGTGAACAGACTGTAGCTGATTGGATAGTGTCCTTTAATATCCTTTGAGCTCTGTATCCAACGAAGGTTAAAGTCAAGGGCAACTGGACTTGGTTGAAGATACTGGATACTGACTTTCCAGTATATTCAACCAAGTCCAGTTGCCCTTGACTTTAACCTTCGTTGGATAACTATGACCTGGATGACTGAGAATCTTCATAGACATTTGAGCTCTGTAGGTACTTCACCTCACTGATGCTCAGTAGACGGGTACCAATGATCTTCTGAGCAGTTTTAATCGCCTGCAGAGCCCTCCTGTCCTGGGCCGTGCACATCCCATGCCAGTTGGTGAATTTAACAGTCAGGATGCTTTCTATTGCTCCTCTGTAATAGCTGACAAGAACTTGGCATGTGAATTTAGCCTTCTTAAGTTTCTGTGCTTTCTTCCCCCTCCCCTGGGGGCTTGGACCCCGTTGATACCTGCTTGAAGTTCTAGTATCGATTATTTTTTGTTTCTCCCATCCTTGAGGCCACTTTTCTTAAATGATAAATGGCAATTTTGGGTTGTGAATTACGAATGTAAGATGCAGAAAATGCTTAGACATGGCTCTGTTCATCAAATCAGCTTTAGATTAATCAAATCACTTGATAATTTATCACTCTGTTTTTCATTTCACATGCATTTTCATCTCCTCCTTATTTCTATTAATTGTATTTGCTTCCACACCTCATAATTATTACTTCATAATTCAGTGGAAAATGAGTTAAAGCTAAGATATGTTGCAGACTAAGTGGCCTAGGAACATGGAGCACAGTAAAACGGCTACTACAATGAACTTTTGAGCTCAGCTAAACTGAAAGTAGGAGCATATATATATTTTTTTATTATTGTGAGGCCTTGGTCTCCAAAGAGACTTTGGCTCGTGTGCTTTCTCTTCTGCTCACATTTCAGGAAGACTTCACATCCTGTTTGTAGAAACACAATTGTTGGTCCCACCTACTAAGTCCAGCCTTTACGGCGTCAAAAATTCTGTAAAGGAAAAGGTGTGATACATAGCAGAGTTGATCTCACATTTAGACGCACATTCACCAGCGGCACTCTTTAAAGGAACATTGAGCATTGTCCAGTTATGTTTTTGTTTTTGCTAGTGATTGCTTGTTTATGTCTATATTAGGGTGGATCAGTCACCATCTGGCTGTACAGTTGTGTATCACTTGGCTGCCAAGTCTGGTGAGAGAAATCAGACATGTTCAGATCTTGACAAAGTACACAACAAGATATATATTTCTGCTTTTCTCTGTTGGTTCAGGGGTGCTCCTGCAGCCCTCAGTGCCCTCATGTGCCAGGCAGCGCTGTCCCAGCTACTGCAGAATGACCTTTCACCTTTCCATTGCCCCCAGGAAGCTGAGGTCAACCAGGAAGAGGAGCAGCAAGTCTGTAAGTATTTTACTTTATGCTCATTATGGATTAGTGAAACAAACTGTGAACACAACATTAACATATTATCACCTTTTAAAGGGATATTAAGCAATTCTGCAGATATTGTTAGTATTTTAACTCAACTGTCAATGTATACGTCTGTTTGATTCCATAGTTACATGTGTAGAACATACATTTTGGTGTAAAATGATGTATGCACCGTGGAATTTGTGGGATAAAGAGCAACTTTAAGAGAATATTTTAAGATTTAAAAGAATCTTCTCCACTTTACTGTAAATGTACATAATGGCCACTGCATTGGTCACTTAATAGATTGATCAGTAATACTGCATTATGAACACTTTCCCAATTTTCCAATTTTTTATTTAATAAGCTGCTATGCCAATCTAATATTATTATTTATTAATAGGAGTGTGACGAGACACTTAGTTCATGAGATCAAGATGAGACAAGATTTTAACACTTTTTTTTTTTTGCTGAAATATATAAACATTTTGAGCATTAAACAGTTAATTTCCTGCATTCTAGTGAAGTTTTCTGCACCATTTTATGGTGGAAATATTTTTATTTATGTAAAGGGAAACACAAAATTCAGAAGGTGACACTTCAAAGAATTAAACTCTAACACAATCAAGTCAGTGCCGCACTTATTCTGTGCTGCTTTCAGATCTGTTTCTCCTGTAGATCAACTTTTCTCATGGGATATCATCCCATTCATTCATTTTAATTCATTTAGAAACTCCTGGATTTTATTAACTCCTGTGTTTCAGCAGGTTTTCTGCTCCTGTTCAAAACTTTCTGCACATTCAGAATCCGTCCCACATATCTGTGTACTCTGACATACAGAGAAAAAAGTCATAATATTACGAGATTAATGTCATCAATTCATGAGAAATAATTTTTAAGCCTGCCTGCCCTATACTGCTGTGCATTACATATATCCCCTTCAGATGGTCTGACGAACTCTAAATGTTGACTAAATGTTAGGATGACAAAGAGGTGGAAAGCGAAACTAACTGAAAACACAAGTGATCAGACAGAAATCTCACCAGAAACCCACACACGTTAACTTCAGCACCTCTGATAAAGGGCAGCTCACATTCAAGGTAAGGTTGCGTTTCAGTTTTAGGATGGTTTATAATTCAAAACTCAACTGGCTATGTACCTCTTAGTCACAACTGTCTGGACTTACAGCGCGAGAGCGGGTATACTTGATTAGAATTTGTTGTTTGGTGTGTTCCAAAATGCCTTTATGCTACTGTTCGTGGTTCTGAAGTGACTGTTACTAATGGTTTCTTGGCTGTGTGCGCGGTCATGATGTGTAGGCTTACATGAAATATTATTGATTTTTTGTGGTAGGAGAGGATGGCTGTCCTGTGTTTGGCACCTGGGCCTATTACCATATTCACCATATTCCATTGAAGTGCACACAGCTTGTGTGAATATGTGATTCTTTTTAAGGAGGATTTGCATATTGCTTAAAAAATGGCTGTTTTTGTGATAACTTACTCTCGCTGTGCTGTTTGCTCATTGCATTGCTAAGACTAGACTAGCATCATAAGTTTTGTTTCAAAGCTGGAATTGTCATAGGTAACTTTTGCAGTACTATAGGAGAGGACACAGTAATCTAATCTAAGATCGGAGTTTGCTTTTTTTGTCCCGACAAGTAAAGGATGTCAAAGGGCCAAGATTTAAGAGTCACAGAACACTTCTGGTATGTAAAAGCAAAAAGTAGTAAGAACCAAAAGGCTGCGATTTATTTGTTGTTTATTTTTTCTTGCTGTCAGCTTTTCAATCAGAGGCAGTACAACGTCTCTTCCTCAACAAGCTGATAAATGTTGCGCTGGCATGGCATCAAAACTTCCCCAAGCTCCCGTCCTCCCGCTCCCGGTTCCTCCACTGCTCCGTTCATGCCATCAGGAACACAAGGCGTAAGATGGAGGACAAACACTTGGCCCTAGCTGAGTTCAACCAGCTCTTTGGAATCCAGGTACAAGACTTTCATTGCAACATTCTTGTCTTGTTATTCACAATTGCAGAATTTGGACCAAAAACAGAAATCAAAACCCCTTCAAAATAATAAAATGTATGAGACTTATTTGACTTTTTTTTCCTGTCTGTCTCTGTACCATGGTCTAGGACGGAGTGGAGCGTGCCTACTTTGCTGTGTTTGATGGCCACGGTGGGGTTGATGCTGCGACCTACGCTGCCACTCATCTCCATGTTGTCCTGAGTAAACAGGAGACGCTGCAGAGTGACGCAGTCACAGCCTTTAAAACTGCCTTCACACAAACGGATGACATGTTCAGGGACAAAGCCAGGAGAGAGGTATTGAAGCAGCACTGGTCCAACATCCTAAACTGCTTTTAGATTTGCTTTATATTTTTCTATTTATTAAAGGATCTGCCTCATATTCCATCTAACAGTTTTTTTGCTTGAATTTAAATACTCTTAAACTCTCAGATTTAAAGACATGTAAGGGATCCAAGTTTTTTCTGGTCATCCCTGTGGGCAGTGCTGCAGAGAAACCAACCGATGTCACTCCTTTCAGTTGACTTGATTACCGCAGTGAAGGGGGGTGAAATCATTTATTTAGGAGGAGCTGCAGTGTGCATTAACAACCACCAGGTGGCACATGTGAGCAGTCCAGAAACAGGCTCTCTGTCACTACTGTGGGGTAGTCATGGCGACCAGCCAACAATGGGGTATAAAAGGTAAACGCCATGAAACTCTTTGGAAATGAATCACAATTCTCACAGTATGTTAAATTTTCAAGCCAAAACGAAATAAAGTTTTAGTGTGGATGTGTTATTCTGCAGACTGGTGAATTTTACCACTGACACTTACCCAACCTAGGGTTTTAAAAATGAAGATTGTGTTTCAGTGTAGACACGTGGGGTCGCCTTTTGGTCTGGTTCGTGGGGTCATGCATTGTGTGGTAAAAGAGCGACCAGAAAGACAAGGCGAGTGAAGTAATTCCCTGTTTCAGAAAACAGGTTTAGAATCTCTTGAGTTTGTTAACCCTGAAATGAGGTAAACTCTGGGTTTTCCGTTCCAAAAAGAGAGGTCATTTAAACCAGCGTCTACGTTTCTAAGTGCAGCCCACATGTAACCCCCCCCACCCCCTTTTTTTGCGCCAACATCACAGTGTTTATGTGGCAGGAAAAGCGTTACAGTAACATTTTAAGATAACGTGTGTTTGTGTGTGTGTGTGTTGACAGCGTCTGCGGAGTGGCACCACAGGTGTGGCGGTGCTGATCCAAGGTCAGCAGCTGACTGTGGCCTGGCTGGGAGACTCTCAAGCAATATTGGTCAGAAAGGGACAACCCATAACACTCATGGACCCCCATAAACCAGACAGAGAGGTAGGGATATCACTCTCACTCTCTCTCACACACACACTTCAAAGGAATATAATATAATTTTCCAACATTTATTGCACTGAATGGGTTCAGCCCAACAGCAACAGCAGCCAAACAGATGTAGCCATATTGTAGAGTGTTTCCCATACATGATTTATGTGTGGCAGCACACCATGTGTGCCCCTCCTTTTGATTCAGAATGTGCACAGAGAGAGCCCCTCTCTCTCTGTGCACATTCTGAATCAAAACAACCAGGTGCATGCATGTGACATGACCGCCACGCCATTTGATGTGACAACAGATATTATTGGGACACTACAGAAAGTTGCAGATGAACACTGAATATCGATATACCATTGCTTTAGTTAGAAATATACAGACTTCTTAAGGATGACAATGTTAGTTATAGGGCTGACCCCGAATTTTCGAAGATTCAATGCTTCGACTGTCAATCTCACAGTCAGCTTTGCAGCAAAACAAGGATCATGCCATTTGATGATACGGGGGTGCTCAACGTCTGATTTTACATAGAACTACCAGTTTTCTCCCAATAAGTTAATATACAGCCTATTACAATATACATTTCAACATTTAATGCTGTAAATAAACATGTAAAAAGAATAAAACTTTCAATAAATCCAAAATTGTAACCCTAACCCTGGGTCGTCAGGGAAAACTCAAGAAACAGTGAAATTGAACAAAATAAATTAAATAAAATGGGCTTTAAGCATATGTATTCATCCTCTTATAAAACAAGTCACAGAAGGGGTGTGGCCATTCTGATAGCAAATGCTGTAAATTATGAACCCGTCTGAACTTAGAGATAAAGGAAGGAATCCTAGTGAGTTTACTTAATGTATATGCTCCCCCAGGCAGTGGATGGTCATTTTACAGACAAATAGTTGAATTAATGACACAACAAAAGGTCAGGGGACTGTCATATGTCGGGGTGACTTAAAGACACGTTTAATTCCAAAACTAGACTCTTCAAGGGGGAACCCAGACTCCAGTGGTATCTGTAAAAAGGTAAACAATTTGATGAAAGAAACAGGTATTGTAGGCGTGTGGAAAGAAATGTATCCATCCAGTCTGGATTATACTCATTATTCACCCCCTCATGGCACATACTCTAAGATAGACTATTTTTTAATCTTTAAAAAAGATCTCCATAGAGTAGTGCAATGTGATATTGGTCCAATTGCTCTGACGGATCGTTGTCCCATATATATGTCAATACACCTTAACAATAAACCGAGGACAACTTTTAGGAGATTAAACTCATATCCTAAATAATACACAAATCAAAAATAAATTAGAAAATGAAATCAAAGTATATCTTGAACTTAATGATAATGGAGAGGTGTAGCTGCCCGTGCTTTGGGATGTGCTCAAAGCTGTAATTAAGGGGAGAATAATTTCTATTACTTCGCATGAAAAACAACAAAGGCATAAGAATCTAAAAGACAAGATTAAAGCAATTACAGAAAGCATAAAGAAACCTTAGATTCAGAAATTAGTTCAGACATTAAGAAAACAAATAATGAAATAGATGAAATAAACACACAGGAAATTCAGAAAAAATTTTTGTTTACAAGACTACGTTATTATGCAGTAGGAGGTAAATCTTTGAAGCTTCTGTCTTAAAGATTGCAAAAACAGCAAGCTGATTACACTATACATAAGATTCAAAACCCTGAATCAGGAACAATTGAGACAAGCTAGAATAAAATACATTTTTGAGAGGTACTATAAATCATTATACTCTCAAATACAAACAGATGACCCCCAAATTGACACTTTCTTAGCTACAGTGAATCTACCCTCCATAACTGAGGAGCAAAATCAAAAACTTGTTGCAGAAATAAGTAAAGAGGAACTATACTCCGCAATTAGGAGACTTAAAAGAGTCCCCGGGCCCGGATGGCTTTGGCCCTGACTGATAAAAATCAATGACACCTTTATTAAAAACCTTTAACTGGGTGCTAAAAGAAAGAGAAATTCCGCCTTCATGGAGAGATGCGATTATTTTAGTCATATTGAAAGACAGAAAAGACAAAATGGAATGCGGTAACTATCAGAATCATTTTTATTGCCAAGTATGTGTACACATACGAGGAATTTGACTCAGGATTGTACATTGCTCACGATGTGCTTACTTATACAATAATAAAATAATATAATAAAATCAGACACATACTACAGAGTAGACAACACTAATATACACACTAAACAAAACAATATAGACATATTGACAAATAGTGCAGTGATCAGTGTGCAAAGGATGCAAGAGTAAACTATTCTCATTATGTACAAGTTGAAGGTGGATATTATATACAGGTACACATACATGTACACAGTGTGATGGAGCATAGTGCAAAGGATGCTGGAAAAAATAAATAAGACCTATGACCTGAGGTAGGTGTATTGGTATACAGTATATACAGTATGACATAGTATGAACAGCACTGAAATAGAGAATGGTGAATAAATAGATAATAAGTGGAAACCAGTAAACATGTGGCTGATTAGAGACAGACTTACTGGGTTATTGCACAGGAATTGTTTGTGACAGCGTGAGTCAGAAATCAGCTGTTCATCAGAGTGATGGCTTGTCGGAAGAAACTGTTCCTGAGTCTGTTGGTTTTGGCGTACAGTGCTCTGTAGCACCTACCAGAGGGGAAGAGCTGGAACAGGTTGTGTCCGGGGTGAGATGGATCTGCAGTGATGTTTCCTGCCCGTTTCCTGACTCTGAATGGAGGGCACCATTCTGAAGGACTGTCCGTTGTAGTCTGCTCCTGTCCTTTTTGGTGGCAGATCCAGACCAGACAGTGATGGAGGTGCAGAGGACAGACTGGATGATGGCTGTGTAAAAGTGGATCAGCAGCTCCTTAGGCAGGTTGAGCTTCCTGAGCTGGGCCTTCTTAATGATGGTGTCAGTGTTGGGCTCCCACTTCAGGTCCTGGGATATAGTGGATCCCAGAAAACTGAAGGATTCCACAGCAGACACAGGGCTGTAAGTATGGTGATGGGGGGCAGAGGGGGGGGGGGGGGGGCTCCTCCTGAAGTCCACGATCATCTCCACAGTTTTGAGCGTGTAAGCTCCAGGTTGTTCTGACTGCACCAGGGAGCCAGCTGATCAACCTCCCATCTGTAGGCCGACTCGTCACCATCCCGGATGAGGCCGATGACCGTTGTGTCATCAGCGAACTTCAGGAGTTTGACAGACGGGTCCCCTGAGGTGCAGTCGTTGGTGTAGAGGGAGTAGAGCAGTGGGGAGAGCACACACCCCTGGGGGGCGCCAGTGCTGATAGTCTGGGTGCTGGATGTGATGTTCCCCAGCCTCACCTGCTGACTCCTGTCAGTCAGGAAGTCTGTGATCCACTGACAGGTGGAGGCTGGCACAGTGAGCTGGGTGAGTTTGGTGCTGAGGATGTCCGGGATGATGATGTTGAACGCCGAGCTGAAGTCCATGAACAGGATCCTAGCATATGACCCAGGAGAGTCGAGGTGTTGCAGGATGTGATGCAGACCCAAGTTGACAGTATCATCCACTGACCTGTTAGCCCTGTAGGCAAATTGCAGAGGGTCCAGCAGGGGGCCTGTAATGTCCTTCAGGTGGGCCAACACCAGTCTTTGAAAGGACTTAATGACCACAGATGTCAGAGCGACGGGCCTGTAGTCATTCAGTCCATAGATGGAGGGTTTTTTTTTGCTGCTCCTCCAACTAATAACTCCGGGAAAGTTCCATCGGCGTACTAAATGTTGACTATAAATTGTTTACGTCAATATTGAGCAAGAGAATAAAAAATATCCTACCAGAACTCATTCACATGGATCAAACAGGTTTTGTTCATCAAAGACAAACGCAAGACAGCGTTTGGAGAACCTTACACATTAGACATGTCACAAAACATAGTACAGAGTCAGCCATACTAAGTCTAGATGCAGAGAAGGCATTTGACTCTGTCAAATGGTCCTGCTTGTATAAAGTATTGACGAAATTTGGCTTTCACAGGTCTGTCATCGACACATTCAGAGCACGATATGAGAGATCATCAAAATCAATGGTGATCTAACAAACTTTTATTCTAGAACACGGAACAAGACCGGGATGCTGTGCTTCCCCTCTTCTCTTTGGCTTGTTTATTGAACCTTTAAGCCAATGTATAAAACAAAATAGAGATTTTAAAGGAATAGATTTGTCAACAGGGGAACACAAATTGTAGTGGAATGGGCCTCCCATGTTTACAAATATATTATGCGGCCCAACTAAGGCCCTTACTTTGTTTATGTACATGGGCATATTCGGCAAGGTGGAAGGGCATTGGAAATCTATTGGTGGAAGAGATCCCACTAGAAGCAATTTTAACAGATGAGGAACTACAAAAAAATTGCTAACAAGGGCAACCAGTGGCTCAACTTATCACTAAAAATATGTCAGGAAACTGAAACTAAGTAGGTTAGAAGTTCCTGCAAAATTGTTAAGATAGTGTGCCTACAATTAAAACTTTTTGCCGAATAGATCTGATGATAGATTAAAAAAAAATGGACCACAAAAGGTCTTACTAACTTCTACACATTTGTCCACAAGGGGGGGTTTCCAAAACTTTTTATCCCTACAGGAAAAACACAACCTGGAAAAGAATGATTTCTTTAGGTACCTTCAAGTTCGACACTATTTCGTTCAGAACTTGAACACAGCTTCGAAAACAGAAGAATTAGATATCCAAAAACTATTCCTGTCAGCATCTAAATCCACGACTTGCAGCAATATCATCTCCAAAATGTACGTAGGTATTCTTCAATGTACAGTCCCCTCCAAAAGTATTGGAACGGTAAGGCAAATTCCTTTGTTTTTGTTCACTGAAGACATTTGGGTTTAAGATCAAAAGATGAGTATGAGACAAGAGTTCAGTGAGCAAAACTACTGGAACATGTGACTGACAGATGTTCTGGTTGCCCAGGTGTTGCCTTTTAGGTTGATTGTCCAAAAATTAAATAGCTCTGCATGACTAGTCTAAGTTTTCATCCTTGGTTCAAACCTATAAAGACTGCATTTCCTGTTCAAGAGGATAAACCAACATGAAGACCAGAGAGCTGTCTATGGGATAAAAGCAAGCCACTGTCAAGCTGAGAAAAGAAGGAAAATCGACCAGAGCCATTGGACAAACATTGGACAACAATTTGGAATGTCCTGAAAAAGAAAGGAACTGCTGGTGTACTGAGCAACAGACGTCGAACAGGTCGGCCAAGGAAAACAACAGTAGTTGATGACAGAAATATGGTGAGAGCTGTGAAGAAAACCCCCAAAACATCAGTAAGTGACATCACCAACGACCTCCACAGTGCAGGGTGAAGGGATCACAATCCACTGTTGGAAGAAGACTCAGAGAGCAGAAATATAGAGGCCACACCACACCACAACAAAAACAAAGGAATTTGCCATACCGTTCCAATACTTTTGGAGAGGACTGTAAATCAGAAAACTCACTTTATATAAAAAGAAATGGGAGAAAGAGGGTAATTTTAACATCCCAGAGGAGACTTGGCAAAGAGTGTGAGCAATTCAATGAGTTCAACTAGTTCGTCCACATGGTGCGAATTCTGCCGGAAAAATATTGTACGATTCTTAATTACCCCGCAGCAAAAAGCACATTTTGGAGATGGCAGTTGTTGGAGGCTCTGTGGGGAAAACAACACCAACCACTTTTCATATTTTGGAGCTGCCAGGTCCCCTACTGGCAAGAAATATATAAACATGTTAACAATCTATTTGGTAGTAGTATCCCTCTCAGATGGGATACTATTTACATGGGTGATATCCAATTAGATAGATGGAGTAATAACGACAAGAAACTGGCTCATATACTTCTGGCAGCAAGTAAAAAGGCTGTCAAAAGAGATGGCTAAAATCAGACCCACAAACTATTGAAGAGTGGATAGAAATAATACATGAAATTGATATGATGGAATTATCATTTTCCCTCAGGATCCAAAAAGAAAAAATTTATCTGATTTGGATCAAGTGGACTGAATATATTAAACTAGTTACTTCAGATTTTAAATGGACTTGTTGACATAATTAACGGATGTAGGTACTAGACACAATGGGAAATGTAGGTATAGACATCAATAAGAAACAATGAGTATGTAAGTTTCTGTCTGATCTTGTTCTATGTATGCATATATATGTAGATATGTGTGCTTAGGTATGTAGATAAATGTATGTTTGTATATCTGTATATCAAACCTGCCTGATGACGATAACTCTGTTTCAACAATTGACTACAACATCAGAGCTTATAATCCCTGCTCTGGGAGCATACCAGACGCATATATAGACTCACTCACACACAGGTTTCCCTCTTTATAAAGCCTAGTTCACACTACACGATTTTAAGCCCAATTTGCGTCGGCGAGCTTAGTGACATTCACATCTACATCTATCCAATGAGAGCAGGCAGCTGGAAGAGCAGGCAGCTATTTTTACCGGAAAACACTTTTAACTCACCTCCAGCTCTCTGTAGCTCAGACAATCCCTGCCACCTGCGTGTGCTAATCCATTTTTTCATCCATATTCTTTGTATTTATAATTGCTATCTTTATAATAACAAACAACAGCTGTTTCGTGTGTTTTTTTTGGTTCACTTCTCGTTTCACATTTCACGTGTGTTTTCTTGACAAAACGTGGTTTGGAGACCAGTGTCGGGTGACACAGCCGTCGTGACACCGATCAGTCACGTAGTGTGAACACCACAGCGACTTCAAGACTCCCGTCAGTAACACACTGACGTAATGTATGACTAGTTTAGTCAATGATTTCATACATTTTCTGAATCTCAGAGCAAAGCTCCTATCAAATGGGGGTCTAATTTGTGTTAGTTTAAGTGTAAACGTTTGAGAACCATGCTTTAGACTGCTGTGGTTACAGGTTTTGATTTTATGTTGTCAAGGTCTTCTGTCTTCACCACAACATGAGTTTTACATGACTGATGGCTGTCAATGCACGTCTTCAGATTAAATGAACAGTGTGAAGGTGGTCTGGTGGTCAGGTTGGTCTCTTTTGTCCTCCACTGTCCAGGATGAAAAACAGAGAATTGAGGATCTTGGTGGCTGCATCACCTTCATGGGTTGCTGGCGTGTTAATGGAACATATGCTGTATCCAGAGCTATAGGTAAGTCACTCATAACCAACAAGAAGAGAGCAAGTTTTGGGCTTAATACAGTAAATTCTCACATAGTGGTCTTTATTACCTTAATGACAGAGAGAACCATTTGTATGTACAGTATATATTTTCTAGTTCAATAAAGAATTATAGAAGTTGTATGACAAAGATTTTAGTCAATCAACCTGACAAAGATTTTAGTCAGTCAACCATGTTTTGTTTTGTTAGTTTTTTTGGCAGTTCTTTTTATAAACACATTGTATTGCAGTAGTACCGTATCAGAAATATTAGGATTTTTTCTTCAGCTAAAAAAACACCCAGACTCCCTGCTCATTGTTCTCGGGGACTTCAACAGAGCAAACCTCAGCCACGAACGTCCAAAGTACAGACAGCATATTAAGACACTGCACCACTGCTACACTACATGAAAAGAAGCTTATCGCTCTGTCCCCCATGCAGCGCTGGAACTCTCTGATCACTGTCTGGTTCATCTTATCCCGACATACAGGCAAAAACTGAAATCTGCTAAACCTGTTTTAAAGACTGAAAAGATGGACCAACGAGTCAAAGCTAGAGTTACAGGCCTGCTTTGACTGCACTGAGTGGAGTGTTTTTGAGACTGCAGCCACTGACCTGGACGAATTGACACTGTGACATCTTACATCAGCTTTTGTGAGGACGTGTGTGCTGACCAAAACCTTCCACACATACAACAACGAAATACCCTGGTTAACAGCGAAACTCGGGCAGCTTCGTCAGACCAAAGAGGAGGCCTTCAGAAGTGGGAACAGAGTCCTGTACAACCAGGCCAGGAACACTCTGACTAAAGAGGTCAAAGCAGCAAAGAGATGCTACACTGAAAAGCTAGGAAACAGCTTCACAGCCAGCAACCCTGTGTCAGTGTGGAGAGGCCTGCTGACACTCACTAACTACAGGAGACCATCCCCCAACACTGCTGGTACTCAACAACTGGCTGACGAGCTGAATGGTTTCCATTGTAGATTTCAAGCCCACAGTCACACCTCTCCCCCGCTCCAACACCATCTTCAAACAGTCACCTTCTCCGACTGCCACGCGCTCACCCCCCTTTCTGACCCCTCACCTGCACTCACGATCTGTGAGGGGGATGTGTGCCAGCTCTACCAGAGGCAGAAGATCAGGAAGGCTCCTGGCCCAGACGGTGTCACCATCCTGCCTGAAAATCTGCCCTGACCAGCTGACCCCCATCTTCACACAGATCTTCAGCAGATCACTGGAACTGTGTGAAGTTCCCTCCTGCTTCAAACGCTCCACAGTCATCCTGGTCCCCAAAAAACCCTCCATCTATGGACTGAATGACTACAGGCCTGTCGCCCTGACATCTGTAGTCATGAAGTCCTTTCAAAGACTGGTATTGGCCTACCTGAAGGACATTACAGGCCCCTTGCTGGACCCCCTGCAATTTGCCTACAGGGCTAACAGGTCAGTGGATGATGCTGTCAACTTGGGTCTGCATCACATCCTGTAACACGTCGACACTCCAGGGACATATGCTAGGATTCTGTTCGTGGACTTCAGCTCGGCGTTCAACATCATCATCCCAGACATCCTCAGCACCAAACTCACCGAGCTCACTGTGCCAGCCTCCCCCTGTCAGTGGATCACAGACTTCCTGACTGTCAGGAGTTAGGAGGTGAGGCTGGGGAACATCACATCCAGCACCTGGACTTTTAGCACTGGCAGGGGTGTGTGCTCTCCCCACTGCTCTTCTCTCTCTACACCAATGACTGCACCTCAGGAGACCCGTCTGTCAAACTCCTGTTTGACATAACCGTCATCAGCCTCATCCTCGATGGTGACGAGTCGGCCTACAGATGGGAGGTTGATCAGCTGGCTCTCTGGTGCGGTCAGAACAACCTGGAGCTTAACACGCTCAAAACTGTGGAGATGATCGTGGACTTCAGGAGGAGCCCCCCCCTCTGCCCCCCATCACCATACTCACAGCCCTGTGTCTGCTGTGGAATCCTTCAGGTTTCTGGGATCCACTATATCCCAGGACCTTAAGTGGGAGCCCAGCAATGACACCATCATCAAGAAGGCCCAACAGAGGATGTACTTCCTGCGCCAGCTCAGGAAGCTCAACCTGCCTAAGGAGCTGCTGATCCACTTTTACACAGCCATCATCCAGTCTGTCCTCTGCACCTCCATCACTGTCTGGTCTGGATCTGCCACCAAAAAGGACAGGAGCAGACTACAACGGACAGTCAGAACTGCAGAAAAAATCATCAGTGCCAACCTGCCCTCCATTCAGGACTTATACATTTCCAGAGTCAGGAAACGGGCAGGAAACATCACTGCAGATCCATCTCCTGTTCCAGCTCTTCCCCTCTGGTAGGTGCTACAGAGCACTGTACGCCAAAACCAACAGACTCAGGAACAGTTTCTTCCCACAAGCCATCACTCTGATGAACAGCTGACTCTGACTTACAGTGTCTGGAACCATTCCTGTGCAATAACCCAGTAACTCTGCAACCTCTTTACGGACTTGCACCACTTATTATATATTTATCATTCTCTATTTCAGAGCTGTTCATACTGTTCATATTCATATTGTATATACTGTATTCCAAATCCACCTACCTCATGTACATAACACCATACATAATACTTATTTATTCCAGCTTTCTTTGCACTCATCACACTGTGTACATGTATGCTTGTATGTATATGTGCATAATAATAACAATAATGGTAATAATAATTTTTCTCCTGCATCTTTTGCACTCTGTTCATTGCACTACTGCAATTTGTGTAATTGTGTGTGTGTGTGTTCTCTATATTGAAGCCTGTGTTTTATTATTGTCTTACTGTATTATTGTATAAGTAAGCATATCGTGAGCGTTGTCCAGAGTCAAATTCCTCGTATGTGTACATATATTAGGAATTTTATGGGGCGGCTGTGGCTCAGGAGGTAGAGCGGGTTGCCTGTTAATTTAAAGGTCAGCGGTTCAATCCCCGGCTCCTCCAGGCTGCATGTCGAAGTGTCCTTGGGCACTGAACCCCGAATTGTGGCTGTTCCGTCAGTGCATGAGTGTGTGTGAATGTTAGGCTCAATCCCAATGTCCCCCCCTAAGCCCCGAACCCATTTTTGCCTTATTTTGAAGTCCTGCAGGCTCATGTCCTACAGAATGGAGGAGAGGTAGGCTAAACGTCAATATATATTTGTAATTAATGAATGCACTATCGTTGGTCAAATAGCATCATCAATCAAAAACTAAAATAAATAGTTGAATAAACTAAGTATGTCATAAGGTTATTGCATTCCTCTGACTTAATGTGTTCTATGCAACATCTTAAGTTAAGAAAACTTTCAACCATTTGACATCAGCGTTGGTGTCCATGCTTGTTTGTTTACTGTTTTCTTCTTCTCTTAATACGCAGATTTGCCGGGATATTTCTCTCGCTTCAGGGCTTCCCCTGGTAACCCCATACAGTCTATGGGTAACCTCTGTGTTTTATGTCATACCGCTATGAACAGTGGGCAATTCCCTCAGCCAAAGTCTGCAGAAATGCAGATTTACATAAAGGGTCTATAAAGGGCTCAAAATGTCTGCGAGAGCGCCCTCGAGAGGTCGAAATTACCTAAGCCCTCACGTACTTCCTGGGAACGCCTCAAAGTCTGTGAGGGGGGACATTGGGATTAGGCCTTAGTTTCTGTTTGAGCACTTAGGCTCAGTGTATAAATGTGAGTGAATGGTGAATGCAGATAAAAGCACTTTTGGTGGTCAAAAAGACTAGAAAGGCGCTATACAAGTACAGAGCATTTACATGTTACATTTATACCTGGCAATAAAGCTGTGATAGGAAACGTGACTTATGTGATTTCCCACTGTAACGTAAGAACATCCAAAAGTTGATTATGTTTAAACTTTTGCCGCAGGGTAACTACTTCCTGTGCAGTTTACATCGTCACAGGCTAAAAAAACTACCCCTATTCAAATAAATGGACCGACATTATTGCCACAATACCTGATTTTGTGTGAATTCTGCCTAAGATTTGTAAGGTAGTTTATGAGCACTATTGATCTTCATTCTAACCAATTAATTGAGAGGTATTCAGGCCTTGGAGTCGGTCTGCAGCTGCTAACCACACATTCCACATCACTCCTCCAGGTGACTTTGACCAGAAGCCCTATGTCTCTGGAGATGCTGACTGCTCAACAACCCAGCTGTTCGGGGATGAGGACTATGTGTTGCTGGCGTGTGATGGCTTCTTTGATGCAGTCAAACCTTCAGAGGTGCCACATCTGGTCCTGAATGCACTCCAACAGGCTGGTGACCCCGAGGGCGGGGAAGACGCTCCACTGGAACGGTCTGAGGATGCTATTGGACTGAGAGTCGCTCAACAGTTGGTAGGTCACGCTAAGGCAGCTGGTTCCAGTGATAACATCACAGTGATGCTGGTGTTCCTGCGTCCACCAGAGCAGCTGCTAGTTGAAGACTCCACCCCAGTAACTGTAAAAACTACTCAGGACTCCACTTCTCAAGATGCACCAGCAGTAAAGCAGGTCTGCTGCACAGTGCACAGACACCTTCTGCCTGACTCTGCATTTGTCAACATATTTTTGCCCTCAGGTGCTGACATACATCATGCAGAGTGACAAAGCTAATTTGATATGCTAACAAATCACATAAGCACGGCAGAGGTAAGTCACACCATGTCACTGCTTTGGAGTAAAAGTGTTGATTCAGCTGTATTTAGACCTAAGATGTATGCTATATGATGCAGGGTCAGCTTTATTGCTAGGGTTCCCGGGGCAAAAGTGAGCTGTGGGTTCCTACTGAGTCCCCAAACATACTCCCCCAACCTTGAAACCAACAAGTATTCCTACACTGGAAAATAACCTGTCCGAGGTTTGCTGTGTGTAAATTGATATGTACCATGTGAGCATCATATGTGAAAAATATGATGTCCTGGTTCTAACTTCAGTATTATCTCATGTGATCATTGGATTTTAACTCTTTAAAAAGAGCTTTGTGTTATACATTCATAATCTTGAATTGAACTAAGCATTGAAAACATTTAAACTTTGTTTCTGTTGACTGGCATTATTTTGTACTGAAACAGATGTGTGACTGAAATGAAAGTCTTAAGGATTGATTCTTTTTGAAAACAAAGAACTTTTTTTAAGCAACTCAACACCTAATTGTGAGATTTAATCACTACTGAATACCTTATTTTGTAAATTTAAATACCACTGAAGTTATAGCATTGAAATATTTTCATTTGAAAACCATCTCTCTCAATTTAGGTGGTTTGAATTCTGCTCTTTCAAATTGTATATTTAAAATTTTTTTTTTCCAGCTTCACAATTCAAATACAAAGTTCTAGTATCCAGAGTTTCCAGGAACTTTTCTTTCTTGGATCATGTGACTGACAGAACGTAACCTGATAGGACAGTGGTCTAATTGATTCCATTCAGGTTTGAATGCTAATCCTTGTTCCTTCTTGGATTTTGGAATCTGAATCCAATTTTAGCAACTTGAACTTAAAACCAAGTTTTTAAAGTTGCACCACTTAAATAACCCTATATTTCTGTAACCGTAGTTACTGTTGCCATGCCTGCCAAATGTTCTGTTCTCACAAAGCACTCTGCAGATGTACCATCAAAATGTTTAGTCATTTTTTTTAATGTTGGGCAGCTGTGGCTTAGGGGTTAGAGCGGCGTCTATTTATAAAAAAGGTTCTATCCTGAGCTCCCCTAGTTTGCAAGTATCCTTGGGCAAGACACTGAACCCCAAATTGCTCCAGATGAATGTGATGTAGTGTAAAGCGTTTTGAGTAGTCGGAACAACAGAAAAGGCTCTGTACAAGTACAGGCCTGTAAAATAGCGCCTGTAAGATGTTTATTGTCGAATTAACTGTAACTTACTGGCAACAGTTATCCAGTAGTTGCTGTATTTCATTCTTCGATAAAATTACTGTAAAACAACAACAGTAGTGTTTAGCATACCGTAAAATAAGTACAGTATATGTACTGTTATTTTAGTTATTTATTTTAGTATTATGCTGTTATGAAACATTACTGTTAGTTTACAGTATTACTGTTTAACGAATAAAATACTGTTTTAGCTGTTGATGTAAAATAAAAAGGACATTTGAAGACTTAACTGCACAAAAGCAGATCGTTTATTGCAATAATACAGTCATAATACATATAAAGAGATCTGTTTTGAAACTGATAGTATAACAATGTCGTAGGCAGTCGGTAATCAATGTATAAAAGTAAAAATATAATATTTCCCTATAACTAGCCACAGAGACTAGAAAAGCCAGGTTGAAGATAAGAAACTACAGGTAATCAACCATCTTGACCACATGCTAAACATGACATTCTCCATAAAGATCATCAGAATAAATACAACTAATCAAAACTCCAGAAAATTGGCTCAACATTCAACCAGGCCACAGTTATCCTGTCAAGACACATTGCAATACAAAAGAATCTTCACAAAAGAATCTTAACAAAACAGTTTCTCACTGTAGGTGTTCCGGGTGGGGAAGTCTGCATTTGAAAAGTAATGGTGGTGAATTTAGACAGGTGAGGATGGAGGTGGGGGGGGAGCCGGGTGGGCAGTGGAAGTGGTGACAGCAGTTGTGATTGTCCTCCAAAAAAATGACAAACACAAATCAATCACTGGGGCGGAAATTCATCCCCAGTGCCAAACTCACATTATCTGAACACCTTTTATTGAATCTATGAAAGCTGCTCCGCACTCTGATTACACTAGACAATCAATACCTTTGAATGTGAATTTTGGGTATGGTGGATTCCATCCGAATACTCAGACACAGTATGGGACATGTACATGACTTCTGTGAGTGTTGTGTTGTCGTCTTTCGGTATTCAAAGAACAGATTGTATTTTCAGAGACTTTTTCCTATCCAATTTAGTATGGGAGTCAATGGAAAATTGGATACTTATCACTCTAGTGACAGGAGGACCACGGCAAGATTCTCAAAGACTTCTGAAGACAAACAAGCTGCCACAAGCAATCATTTTATCTTTCTAATAAGCTCATCTTTAGAAGTCATGTAAATGTTTGTTACAGCAAGGGGCTAAAACCAAGTATCTTAAATCCAATAAATCAAACTTAATGTAAATATATCTAGTAATTTTAGTGGG